ACCTCCAAGTATAACACGCTGCTTGCGTTTTGTTAAGAAGGCTTTTATCCAATTTAGAAGTTTGCCATTCATACCATACATTTATCCATACATTTCAAGCTTTTGCAGCAGTTTTACATACAAGATTTTATCGAATGCCTATGCAAAGTTAAGAAAAATTATGTATATAATGTTTTATGTATGTATATAATATTTGAGTCAAAAAGTCCATTGTTTCTATAATATTTGTGATGCAATTCTTTTTTGAAATAAAACCATGTTAAGTTTCGGAAAGCAATTTGTTTTTTACCAAATGATTGATTATGACTGTTCTAACTATTTTTTCCATAGTTTGCATAGAACAAAAGTGAGCGATATCGGCTTGTATTTGGCTGGATCTGTTCTACTACCTTTTTTATAAACAGGTGTAATATTAACTCTGAGCCAAGATGATGGAATCTTTCCAGATTTTATTGAAAGTTGAAAAATTAAAGTTAGCGGAACTGTCATTGATGTGGTCCATGCTTTTAAAACAAACGGACTAATTTTATCATTATTTATTTTCATCAAATGTATTTAAGTGTTTGAGAACAATATTTTGGTCTATTTTTATACCCGAAGTTAAAACATTTGTTTTGGATGCAAAAGGATTTTGCGGCTAAGTTAGTGGTTCCTTTGTAAAAACTGCTTGAAATTTGTTGTTAAGAATGTTTGCTTATGTTATTTCACCACTGCTCATTTGATTTGAACCTTGCCTTTTTTTTGGCGGTATTATTTGATGCCTTTGGAATAAACTTATGGCACGCTTCATTATAGAGATTAGATCATATGGAATAACATTTTTGAGCATCGCAATCCATAAATCTAGCTCGCATATTTATGTTGTTTATGAAAGTGTTAATTTCATCATAATTGCCGTTTTTGGATATAATTTTTGGTAACAAATGTCTTTATTTTATACTTTTTTTTTTTTTAAAAAAAAAGGAAAAATTTGTGCTCTATTTCGCCCTTATCTCTTATACATTTTTTTAAGGCTATGCATATATCCTTTCATAAAATTATTTATCTAGCTGCTAGATATATATATATATATATATATATATATATATATATATATATATATATATATATATATATATATAAACACACACACACACACACACACACACACACACGTGAAATCATTTGAGTATTTATTAACAAAGAGTCGTAAAGTAGCAGCTATCGACTAGTTCTTCAAATGAACTGTTAGATGCTAGTAGTTGTAATCTTTTTGAAGATGGCAGAAGAAAGAATGTAAAAGTAGTTCAAAGTTTATCTGTAAAGCAACCTTCTGATTCAGAACATGCTCAAAACACTCTTAAAAAAGCTCTAACACTCATATTAGGTATAATATCAGCAAATCTGATTACCAGCGCTTGAGAAATAATGCTGCGAGTAAAAGTTGTAATCTCTATCCTGCACACAATAATGTTCGTGCTTGTAAAGAACATTTTTTCTAAACAAACATTGTGGACTGTTAATAGTTTTTCTAGAAAAAAAAACTTTCAAGCATTAGTTGATCATACATCAGTACGCTTAATAAAGTTACGTAAACAAGTTATTGATTCCATGTATGATCTTGAAAGACTAACCCTACGTTTGATGGATTGACTAGCCAAAGGATTTATACTCAGGTAACAGTTGAGAGAGAAAACTAAAATCTTTTTTGAAGAAGTTAGTTATATCTCAACTATATCTTCTCAGTCTTGTTTAGTTTGTGGATGCAATTCAACAAAAATGAATGATCTAAACACAGCTAAAAATATGTCATTGACAAAGATAAGTTTTTACTTTGGCCTTATAACTTTTCATGCTTGGATTAAAAGCATGGAGTGTCTTAAAATTAATTATAAATTAATAGTGAAAAATTTGTCTACAAGGACACCATTTGAAAAGAAAACTATCCAAGTACGAAAACAGAAAATTCAAATAAGGTTTCGTGATGAAGTTGAACTGGTAATTAATATGCTAATGTCTGTTAGATATATGTAATAATAACTATAATTGATATGTTAATGTCCGTTGGACTGGTAGTTGATATGCTAATGGAAACATATTATAAAATATATATAAAATATAGCTAAAATATTTTTTTAAAACACAGAAAAGTTTGCTCAAGTTCTTGAACTTGATGTCAGTAGTTGAAGCAGCCGTGGCGCAGTGGTAGCGCACTTGCCTCAGAAGATCCGTGGTTCAAACCCCACCTCTGAGCAAGTTTTGCAACATCGGTTGGGAAGGAGGCGTGAACTTCCTATTAAATGCTCTTCGGTGGTGCTCTGTGATAAAACCGTAAGGACTTCTTGGGGCACCTAAATCAACTTAAAAAAAATGATAAAGATGTTACATGTTATTCTGTGTACATTGTCATCTAGCTCTTTAATTGACTCTTCACTATTAATACTGCTACAAAACAGTTGAAAAGTATGTAAATCTATATCCCTCGTATCATATGTCTCATTGTTTGCACCACATTTTTGGCAAGTTATAGAGAGAATGACTTTGTTTAAAGGCATATTCAGTGAAAAGGCACAAAAAGCTCAAAATAAAAAACTTTCAGAAGTTTCATGAATCAATTTCTAGAAAGTTTTCGCATTCAAAAACAAATGAAGATTTATCAAGGCAAATAATGTGTTCCTCTGACCCTTTGATAAGTAGTTTGAGAAAATCATACTATCCTAAGAGCAACGTTCTTCTAATTGCCATTCTTGATGTATTCAAAAAGGTTCCAATTTTTGACTAACTATAAATTGCATTTGCATAGTTGGTATTCAAGATGTTGTTTACTTTGTTAGTATTTATTATTTATATGATAAAATAATGCATGTTATGTAAATAAATGTTAATGTGAATATACAAATTTGCTTGTATTCTTACATATACTTAATAAAGTATGCTATAACTCTAATTGTATGAACGCTTGTTAAATTTTATGTGGTTGCTAAGGACAATTAAACTACGTCGATACAACTAGTTCGAATTTTATTAACTATATCAAATTTTATTAACTGTATCTATAAACCCTTAGAGTTAAGATTGTTTTCAAAGTTTTTATTTCATTTTTTAAAGAAATTTTGAGTTAAGCAAAGGTTTCATAAAAAAGTTAAATGACTGATTTCTAAGAGCATAAAACTGCATACCAACACCAAATATTAGTAATTTTTTGTTTGTATTATCATTAAATTACATAAAATAGCATTGTAGCATGAATATCAGTTTAGTTTATAAATTTGACATTTTAAGAAAGTCTCTTAATTTCGGTGCAATATGCAATGTTGCTATGGAATATAGGTATTCATAGTAACTAAATAAACAATCTAATGATACCATTAAATTTTTAGTACGAATTATGCTCAACCTGGAAATTATGAGGAAAATCTGATTAATATTTTAAAAGTTATTACTTTTGTCCAGCCAATAATGATTTTGGCCCACTGTGCACTGTGGTATTCACAAAAATGTTGTAATCACATTTCATCAACAAGGGGAACACGACAATTGCTTATTTTTTATTTAATAATAGCTTGAGTGATTTTGTCGACTCAATTCCTCTAGGTATTAACTTTTTCAAATTAATTATAAGAAAAGTTGTTCCAAAAGAAGCAAATAAGCCTAAGATAAAAAATTTTTTTGCATTAGTGCAAAACGTAATACTTGTGAAAAACATGGAAAACGATCTTCCGATTTGTAAAAGATTAATTATCATCTAAAGAATGAGAATTCCTTTCAACATAACTATGCATATAAGTCACCAAATTATTTAAAATAGATAAACTTGCAAGCTTGCTATTATTAATTGTTTTAAACCATTGAAAAGTGGACAATTTTAATTATTTTTTATGATTATTAACTCTAGATGCAAATTGTTATTTATGCGAAAGAAAGACATTTTTTGTACCTCTTTTGAATCTATTGATGTCTTTTAAACGTTCAAAAGCCTTTTTTAGGTCCTGTGCCCGTTGGGTTATTGATTCAATAAAAAAAGTTAATTCTACGATTAAACAATAACATTATCATATCATTGAAAAATAAAAAGGAGAGTTAGATTTATGAAGCCTATCAATTTTTTTTTTTAATCTATTTATTGAAATGTACTGAAATGTCAATGTATTAAAATTTCATCTGGGATAATAAAATCTCACTCAGTGTAAGGTTTAAAAAATAAATTTTAGGCATTACAGAAGATGGAATAAAATTTCATCAGAATAAATATTTGGAACAGGATTTAACTAATGCTTTGAAGAAACTCGTTTTTTATATTCTTAATACAAAATTTCAAACTAATTCAAGCCTTTACTTTTTATTTACAATTCTTTACTTGGCTTCCAATCTTTTTTGTTAATACATTTTCCAAAAATGGTAATCAAAAACTTTTTTTTTTATTAAAATGGTATCGCTTTTTCTAAAATGGTAACCGCTTTACTTCCACAAAGAGAAATAAATTAACTTTTTTAGATTTAATAATGTTCATCAATTAGCAACTGCAGATTTTTTCACTATGAAAATCCAGTTTCCAACTTAATATCTCTCCCCAATCAAAATATAAACAATTATCTAGTAACAGTATAAAAATAACCCAAAATATTGAAGCAGTCCTTCTTATTTTCGGCCTACTTATGCAACATATCCAGCCGTGTATAATGTAGGCTATGACAACATTTTTTACTTTATAAAAATTTGAACATTAATTAAAATAAAAAAAAAGGTCAAAATTAGCATAACTTGATGAAATTTTAAAGGCTTAACAAAAACATTTTAACTTTTTTTTTCGTTTGATTTCATTTAAAAATAAAATAAAAATAAAAATAATTAAAATTATTATGAAAAATCTAAATTTTAATGTTATTTTGATGGATACATTTTCTTTCATTCATTCATATATATATATATATATATATATATATATATATATATATATATATATATATATATATATATATATATATATATATATATATATATATATATAGATGTAAAACAAC